GGGGGTTGCAGCCGCCAGTGCGGGCCCTAGGGCAGGGACTACCTTCACCCCCTGCACCAGCCCGACGCATTTTGCAGGGACATTTTGCAGGGACGTGGCGGGTGGGAAAAGCAAAATGCTAAAAGGGCACTACTTCCTCTACTTGATTCTACTTGCAAGCTGTGATGTCACAATCTTGCAGAGAACGGCACATCAACACGTGCAACCACGCATGCACTAACCCAACACAAGCAGGCACTCACAGACGCGTGGAACTTGCGAGTTGTTTAGGCTCGTCCAAGTGTGGACTCACTGTTAGCCCAAGTGAAAGAGTTATCATGTCACTGGCTCCATGACGACACTCGTACCCCGACACGCTCGCTTCTTTCGGCATTCCAACACAAGCATATGCACACAAACCAAGCAACGCAGACGCAGATCTCCTTTAGATGGATTGAATCGGCAGGCGTCGTGTCACGCACCGCTCACCCCGCACTACACAAAAGGGTAGGGCGAGAGGGCGCGCTCTTCCACCGATTGGGCGGTGTGGGCGGGTGATGCGGGTGCGAAAGCTATCAGGTGTCACTTTTGGACCTCCGATCCACTCACGACTGCGGTGACTGCGGCATTCGCTCGCAAAGTGTCACTGCGTGCACGCGTGCACTTCATTGCCTCGAGCAGCAGAACTAACAACAAGCAATACGACAATATTAAACACGCGTCGCTTCGCTCCGAGTGCTACTATCTGTTCCGATGAAAAACCGAGACGCTAAAAGTGCAAACGCTTCGCTAAGCACAACCCGCAACTGTGAGCGAGCTGCTCACTCGACAACAAAAACGACCTCTCAATCTGTGCGCAGCACAACCTACTCAAACCCTGCAAACACACTACGCGCAATTGACTTTTTGCTGGGACTGCACTGCTCATGCGCAGGAACACAGCACGGCGGGCGGGCGGGAACCTCAAGAAGTGGAGCTGGCAGCAGCTTGTAGCTAGACACAGGCCGCCCCGCAACCACACAATCTTCCCATATGCTGCTGCAACTGCAACCAGTTAAACACGCAGCGATAGAGAGGGTTTACGTCACAGTTCAGGGCCTGTGACATATTGCACAACGTCACAAAGGGTAATAAAGAGAGTTGGGGGCATTGCCCGCATCCTACCCGCATGAACAGCAAGTGTCAGAACCCCATCCTGCATCCCACAAAACAAGGGGCGCTGTCTGCAAGTAGAATTCTAGCGCTACGCTGAACGTCTCCTTCTCCTCAGCCCCGTGACATTTTTGAGAAACCCCGGAGCAGGGTTAAAATTTCAAAATCAACACTGCGCTTTCGAATCTTCTGCGAGTGGGAATTCGCCCCCGAGCTGAATTCGCAACACCCATAGCGCGCGTTGTAAGTCTTCTTTTCCTTCCGCCGATTTTTTTGAATTGACCCCATCAAGTACGGCACTGCGCCTGGTAGTCAAACGCACGGCAAGCTGCTTCCCCATCCACATGAAATCCCTTGCAGCACATCAGCAGATATCAGCAGCAGCTGCCTCAGACACCTGCTGTGACATTTACGGCGGCGGTCACCAAAGGACAAGGCTGCCCGAAATCCTTCACACACCCACCACAAGGAGCTGCAAACGCCTGCACACGCACGCATCGGGAAACTCTTCTCTAACAACAAGCGCAGCAGGCACTTCCCGCGGCACCTCCGCCTGGAGCTGCGCCTCGCGAATCACGTCGGACTGCAGGTCTGATAGTTGGTGCACTCGTTGGTCCTTGAGAAGATCAAGCTCCTCATCAAAGGCCGGGAGCTCTCTTGATTGCCTTTTGTAAATCGCCCCTTGCAAGACCAATCTGCGCTGAAACGCTGGCAAACTCAAGTTTGGACAAGGTAACATGTAAATGACAAGCAAGTCACTAATCGCAGGACCAGAAAGATCTGCCTGCAGCTTCAGCGTTGGTTGCCTGACAGCACAACATGCGGTAGACCACACTCATCTCAACCACGCAGCGCCACTTTGAATGAACACCAGCTCTTCAACATCATCCATACTGAAAGCAACAGAGATGACCAAAGATAAACAACTGGACCCTGCAGATTTGCACATCGTGCAAGAAGGCACCTGGGCAGCTTCTGCTCGAGCTTGTTCACAGCCAGCCCTCGGACGAGAGGCGCAAATGCGATCGTAGAAAGAAAACACCATGGAGCAAAATACGTCGCCATGACTTTTAAGCGAAGCGAGATCTCCACTGCAGCACAAACGAGATCTCCACTGCAGCACAAACACGAAAACTCCACCTGGCCGCCATGACTCTCTGCTACACGCCTTGACTCTTCTCCCCCATCCTATCAAGCCAACCAAGACCAGGAGATCTTCAAGCACTCAAACAAACAAGGAGAGAAGAAAGCCTGCACAAGCCTGCACGCAACTCGACCCTCTCCTTTTTTCGCAGGAAGCGAGCACACAATCAGGTAGGAACAAAACACGGCGCAGCCACATGCTACAGTCTCGTTAGCAAGACCGCACCTGCCGTCCGGCCTGTGCCAGCTAACTTTTAAGCAGAAAAAGGGTTCCCCTGGGCGTGGAGGGCGGGGAAAATCGACACAAAACTACACGTTCTGTCCAAGTGCTGTACCGTGCCACTTCGGACACCCGGCTCGAGCACACAGACAGCTGCTAAAGTGTTGCAATTCACAACAACGCGTTGCGTGGTGGCAACACGCAGTCACTCTATTCACAAAGCAACCCAACCAACAAACAACAAACGCGCGTTAGCACACGCACACAGACGCCAGTCCTGCTGCCCGCAGGGGCCTATCTCACCGTGCTAGATGATCCCACTTTGCTGCACGCGCGCGTGCACCCCGCCGGACTAGCGAGGGCAAGCCACACACGCAGAACTCTGCCCGCGGGCTACCTTTGTCCTCCCTTTTCGCTGCACGGCGCGCAGACCAGGGCGGGCGGGCAGAAAGGGCAAAACATGAAGCTGCCTATCTTTTTGGGTCTCACACGCGGTGTGGCCTACCAAGGGTTTGGCGCTTCACTCCAGACTAACATGGCCTAAACTGAACATGACTGTGCAGACGCAACCAGGTACAGAAGAAGCACAGTGCCACTTCTTTTCCTTCGGTGACGCTGGGGAATATCCTTTGAGTCTCAGAGGGATCTACCCTACAGTGCCCTACAGTATCTACATGTAGCTCCCCGCCCAGGGGGTTGCAGCCGCCAGTGCGGGCCCTAGGGCAGGGACTACCTTCACCCCCTGCACCAGCCCGACGCATTTTGCAGGGACGTGGTGGGTGGGAAAAGCAAAATGCTAAAAGGGCGCTACCTCCTCTACTTGATTCTACTCGCAAGCTGTGATGTCACAATCTTGCAGAGAACGGCACATCAACACGTGCAACTGCACTACCCCAACACAAGCAGGCGCTCACAGACGCGTGGAACTTGCGAGTTGTTTAGGCTCGTCCAAGTGTGGACTCACTGTTAGCCCAAGCGAAAGAGTTATCATGTCACTGGCTCCATGACGACTCTCTTCACTCCAGACTAACATGGCCTAAACTGAACATGACTGTGCAGACGCAACCAGGTACAGAAGAAGCACAGTGCCACTTCTTTTCCTTCGGTGACGCTGGGGAATATCCTTTGAGTCTCAGAGGGATCTACCCTACAGTGCCCTACAGTATCTACATGTAGCTCCCCGCCCAGGGGGTTGCAGCCGCCAGTGCGGGCCCTAGGGCAGGGACTACCTTCACCCCCTAATTTACCGTTCAACCTTCAAGGAGACTGAAGCAGTCGCACAAGGTCTCGCTTACATCTGACGCCTTCAGCGTTCGGCCTTTCCAAGACAGTATCTGAAGCAGCTCCCGTGATGGGCTGTCAGCCGGATTAGACGGTGAGGGCACACGAGAGTACCAGGGATAAAAGCTGAGTCTTTCCTCAGCATGAACAAGCTGTTCCAATAGACTCGAGGGGATGCACGTGCGAGCACTTGCCGAGATAGCCACGTCTCTAGTTGAGTTATTATCAACATAAAACATTACAGGCTTCGCAAACAAGGAAGGCCCCCATTTCCGGGCCGCCACCACGAGGGCAAGGAGCTCTGCCTCGAAGATGATTTGTTGGGACCTATCGCCACCGAGGAGGCGAATCTGCTCTGCGGTCAAGCACACAGAGAAGAGCTCAACCGCCTGTCCCGACTGGTTGAACAGGATGCCTCCAAGCCCACATGGCCACTGTCTGTTCGACACGTCATAGGATGCATCCGTGAAAACGAACCAAGGTCGCTCGCTTAAGATCGAAATCACTCTGGGCGCATCTGCACACAGTCTCTTCAAAAACCTGGCAATCGCATTCCTAGCGGCTGGCGTGAGCACCGGGCCGGCGTCGCCATACGCAAAGGATGTGATGGTTCGCATGCATGCTTTACCGGTTCTTCCGAAGAGCTGGCCGTCCGCAAATTGCATACGACCCCTAAGCTTCAGGGCGAAGGATTGAGGCAGCAGCCCTGTTTCGAGGATCTTCTGGAACGTGTCCCTAAGCTCTGAGATGCGCTTCTCTGTGTTCGAGAAGAGTACGGAACCCTCGCAAAACTTGCTGAGGTCAACTTTTATCCCAAGCGCGTGGAAACTCAACGCAAAAGGCTGTTCTCCACTCTCTGCGAAACCCCATCCTAGGAGCTTAAAGAAGGCTTCAACAGTACGCTGCAAGTGTGTGCTTCCTGCTCCCCGGCCAAAGGTCACGAAATCGTCGAAGAAAGATGTCCAGGGTATCGCTAGCTGGTCAGCTGCAACAAACCACAAAGACATGGCAACGCGAAGGAACGCGTACACTGCACGGCTCGCGCCAAAAGGGAGCGCTCGCATACGGAAGATCCGTGGCGCCTGAATTGCCGGATCCCAACAGGCAACATAGCTAGCCCAGGAGGACTCCGGCGACACTGCAAGCTGACGGTAAGCAGACTTGAGATCAAACGTGCGGCCGAGCACGGTGCTACGACCACACTTTGCAAGCAGTGCAAGGCAGAGGGCGGCCACTTTGTCAGTGGCGTGTGGCCGTGGAGTCTCGGCCACTTGCACTGTGCCGTTCACCCCTCCCAGTGAGAAGTCGTCTATGACCCTTACTTTGGACCCCTGCACAACGCCGAACCGACGGCTTACAAGCGCGCTGCTTTCCAGCTCACTGAGCGGAATCGGCCCTTCAAGCCATCCGGCCTTGCACTCTTCCCATGTCTTTTTCATTACTTCCGCATCCAGCTCTCCTGTTGGTCGGACCTTCGAAAGCACCCCTGAGCGGATGCTGCTGGCTTCCCTCTTGACCTGATCTACAGTTGTTTTGGCAGGCTTGAATGTAGGCGTGAAGATCCCCGTGATGGGTACTTCACCAGTAAGCTGCGTGCCCTGTAGGAGCTCATCGAACGCACCCGGGTCTGGGTAGTTACACTCTGTGAGGATTTCCTTGTAAAGCAGCAAGCGCTTTGGCTCTAAGATGGCTCTGCAGGAAGGATGCAATGTCTTCTTGAGCTCTTCTTCTTCGGGCGCAAGTTGTTCTGCCCTTTTGGCCCATTTGCGGATCCAGTGAGTCCTCATCTTTGCAAGGTCTGCATCGTCCATTGTCTCATTCAACTTTACTGCTTTCTGAAGCACATCTGGCAGCGCCTCGCGGAAGCTGCTCGGGTGGCCTGCTTTCACAGCAGCCTCGACAAACTCGGCTTCAGAATGCGGTACGCCCCACGCTTGCTCAAATGACAACTGCTCGGCTTCAACTTTAGACCCAGCTAACCAATCCCCAACCTTAACCGAGATGGGTGTACTGCGGAGGAGCTGACTCTTCGCAGGAACACAAGCAACAAATGGTGTGGCCCTGACACCAGCAGGCAGCGGAAATGGCTGCTCGAGGCGCTTTCCAGGCTCGCAAGGACAAGTCAAAGGCCGTCGCGAACGCAGAACTACCACCATCTTGTGTTCACTCACAGGAGCAGGGAACCTGGAAGCCTTGCTCTGAACGCCTGCGATGGCTCTTTCAGCTGCTGTGGCTAGCTTGTCCCGATCTATGTTCAACGCAACCCTGGCCCCATCCCAACCGCGCGAGACCATGCCCTTGATGAAAGCCAGCGCTATGCCAGCTGCCAGCTGCGAGGGATAGGCGGTCTCCTGGGAAGTGGCGAAGCCATTCGGCGCAGTGGGGTCACGGCCCCAAGGCAGGTGCTGCTCGGCGCACTCAGGACCGGGACAAAAGCGGGCCAGACTTGCAAACGCAGCACAGTTATGTGCAATCGCAGTCTGTTTCTGGCGCTGGCCGCCGTAGGCACAGTGGTCAAAACTCTGGACCAACTTCGACACCGACTTCCAGAAAGACGTTCGCCAAAAGAAGCTGTTCAACGGGTTCTCGACAGCAAAGATCCGCTGATTCTTGAGACACCAACGCACCACATCAGCAACCAACTGGTAGCACAGGTTGGCTTGCTGCACTCTGAACTCATCAACTTGGCTCAATCCGGGCAGCCCATCGGGCCATTGCGCGGAACGCAACGGAGGAGGGCCTCCATCTCCTTCCTTTCTTGCCTGCGACGCAGTACCGCACGGCGGCGCCATGAAAACGCCTATGACTCTGGGCGACCGTAGCCAAGTGAATAGCAACTCTCTGCCCTCAACAGTGGTGAGGTCGAGCTGGATGCATTTAGAGCACGCCTTGGAGACATCAACATCGACCCCAAAAGCACCCTGCACACCGAACCCTTTTAGGCAAGCCGTCACGCGTGCGGTGCCCGCAAATACCTCGACCACGACTGGGTACGCTTGCCAACCAGAGGAACCTGAAGCTGAAGAACCCTCAACGACGCAACTAGTCGACCCCCCTGGCTGTGGGTCACACAGGCCGAACTTGCCGACGAACTGGTTAGCATCTGAATCTGCGCATGCATCACACGGAGAAGGCAACACTGCAGAAGGAAGTGCACTTGGCGGATCACACTGGTCAGTAAGAGCTTCAGGGTCGCTTTCAGACTGACTCGAGCACACCTCAATGGAATCGGGATCCATGCAATCCTGTTGCGAAGGCCAGATCACTTCATCGGGAACGGAGACATCTCCTGGAGCCAACAGGCTTCGCTGCAGACCGGCCCCCACCTCGGGACCACGCAAAATTGGCGGGACACACCGACTCTCGCCCTTTCCGACGACACCTGGCTTTGCAGGCGTGATGGCGACATCCAGCTGAGACGAATCCGATATAGGTCGCTGCGGACTCGATTCCACCTCGGCACAACACAAAATTGGCGAGACACACTGCTGACCCTGACTTACGCAAGGTTCATACGCAGGACTAGTCCCAGGCGTGGCATCAACTGCACTTGCACACGACGCGGCTGTTGTGACGATGACACCAGACTTCGCAGGTGCATCATACACATCCCTTGCACTTGAATCTGACAGGCTTTGCTGCAGACTCACCCCAATCTCGGAGTCAGGCGGCCGACTCTGACACAGCACCCGCACCCCTGCAGGAAGACCTACTGCAGACGCCATGCGTCGCGAAGCTTCAGGGCCCGAGCCTCCAACTACGCCACAGGAGACGCAGCTGTCACTGGCTCCCCCTTCGAGCTTCTTCTCAGCCCCTAACCATCACTTGTGCTCCTTGAGCGGATGCGCACCAAAGCATTTTGCGCATACATGGGCACGCTTACAATCCTTGGCAGTACACTTGTTGAGGCTGTAGCCAAAGCAAATCTCAGATCTATCCGGGGTTGTGCGCACTGCTCCGGCCGCGACAAATTCCTTGGGGAGACGAGGCTCTCTGCCGGCGCCTTTTCCACCGCCAGGCTTCAAGAACTTCTGCTTGCCATGACCAGTATGATTGTCCACATGCTGTCTCTTCTTGTCACTTCCTGAGCCTCTTCCCGAACGCTTGGACGGGGCGTCCTTGGCAAGGCGTGGCTGCAGAGTGAACGACACCTCGTAAGATTCCAGAACCTTTGCCAGCTCCTCGTCAAGGGGGTAGGTGCCGTCGGGACGCTTGCGCGGACTGATTCCCATCTGGATAAGGCGCACCCAGCACTGCCGGTCGGCCTCGGCGAGCTGCGATACGGAGCACCTTGCCATGCCTGGCGGCGGGTCACGCGCAAGGTGACCAAACAGTTTGCAAACATACTTCTCATAGCTGCCCCAGCTGCACGACTGAGCAAACACCAAGGCCAGGCCGCGACGCCGGAGCGCGTCTTGGAGCTGCAAAGCGCTCGACGCGGGCTGTTCCAGCCCCGCACTCTCCTCTTTGACAACTAATCGCGACGCTTCCAATTCCACGATCTTAGTTGGCGTCTTGACATTCATGACCTCGTGGAGCCGCGACACACACTTCTCGGGCGGGATGAACTGGATCTGGTTCTCTTGTTCCATTTTGGCAGCCAAGTCAAGAAGCGCGTGGCCGGGCTCGAGCGACTCACTGACATGGAGCCCCACCAGCCTGGCCTTGAGAATTTCCATTCGACGTTGTCTCTCCGCCGCTGGGACTGGCTTGGCCGTCTGCCGGTCCGGGTGGGTCACCTGCTCTTTTAACTCGGCAAGAATCAAGGTCTGCCCTTCAAAGATGAGACGCTTGAGCGCAGAATGCTCCCCCACCGTCGCATGCCCGAAGTTGGACTCTAACCAAGACGCCAATGTGGCTTCGGGTAAAGGCTGCCCAGGTTGACCCACCGAGTACCCGAGACGCGCCAAAGACTTAAGGTCGAGCCGGTTCAAGGCATTGATGGTCGTCGGGGTCAGGCCCACCTCAGCGCAGCGCTGGTTGAAGTGGTGCTCACTCTCGATAAGGCTGGACATGGCAAGGCAAACTTCCGACAAGGCTTCTGACACACCAAAGACAGCTTGAGCACGCGAACTAGCAGAATCGGGCAACTCACAAGCAGACGCGCAGACCTACCCGGCCCTAACCTATGCACAGACGCGCTCTCTCAGGCTCGATTAACAACACGACAGTCCAACTCAGATCACATGCATCCTGACTTCTCTTAGCAGACATGTCACAGCGCACAAGAAAAATCTACAACATCTCAGCGCAAGCGCTCGCATGACAGCTCAGCCAAAACTTTCTGAGCTGAGGCCTTCTCCCTGAATCTCCTGTCACATAACAGAAGAAGAGCACAAATAGTGCCGCGCACTCTGTGCACCTGAGCTTCTCCACTCCTGCACAGAGGCACCCACTTCATGGGATTTGCTTTTGCAACTGCTCCTTTCGTTCACGCGTTCTTTGCGCATGTGTTGCACACAGGACCCCGCACATCTGCGTCTTCAGCAGGCCGGAACATCCTAGACACAGATCGCCCACACGCAAAGATCTGCTCCTCATCAGGCGTGGCTTTCTGGCCATTCACCAGATGCAGCATCTTGGACCTGCGATGCACCCACCAAACCTGGGCGTCTGCATTCACTGGCGCGCGCCCACGCAAGCGCTGGGCCTTAGCTGGCGGAGGCTGATCCTCTTCATCACTGCTGCTGCAGCCATCGTCGGACGAGGAAGAAGAGGAGTCGTCTTGCTCGCTGGCTCCACACGCGGGGCTCAACGAAAATGGCTCCTCCGGCTCGCTAGCTTCACCTTCCTCCAACTCTGCTGCTGCAGATTGCACACTCTCCTCGTCCTTGCGCTGGTTCTCCAACACCTCAGCAACGGGGGACGGTGGCCGAGGCGGAAACCTGAAGTATCTAGACCTAGCTTCATCGGGTCGGAAATCTCCACCGGCTATGGCTTCAATAATGCGCTGCAGCTCGCGCGTGGGACCGACACACATGTCTCTAGCGTACACGGCATCAGCAGTGGAAGCGCACTTGCAATGTCTTCCCAGCACCGTCTGCGTGCGATCTGACACACCGTATTTGTTGACCCAACTGAGGCAAGTAGCTTTCAAGGAGTGAGAAGAGACGCCCCGTTCGCCCGCTACTGGCGCTGGTAAACCAAGGAACTGCCGTAGGAAAGCAGTCACCTCACCAGACTCAATTGCCCGGCACGAGAACTCCTCGCCTCCACTGTCACGCGGCGCAGGCAGGACTGGCCCGTCAATAGCACCGTCAACAGGCAAGCTCAACCTCTGAAACACATCAACGAGCAAATGCATCCACGGCTTTCCGTGGACGCCAATGGCCGGCACAAGGATGGGCAAAAACTTGCTCTTCTTTTGTGCTGATTTGGCACCTTTATGCTTTCTAGTCAGGATTTCGAGGAACCCACCATACTTGTCATGATCATGCTTGATGGACGAAATCTGCTCGAGGTCAGAATGTCTTGCTCTTCCGTATAAGGCAATCAAGACGTAAGCACACATCGCCCTGTCGACGAGGTGACGAGACACATCTGCTAAACCTTGATGCAGCTGCAGCACCTGATGTACTGACAGCGGTAGTGCTTGTTTGAGGGCTTCCTTTCCCGCAAACATTTGCTGCGCTACCCCTTTCACGCGCTTACTATCAACAACCAAAGCCAAATTAAACCCCAGGACAAAATGGGCAAACCTGGCCGAGCTTAGAAAGGCCTCGGCTTTCGTCGGCGCTGCTTCCATATCCTTTAGCTGCGAAACATAACGCCACGCATTGGCCTCAGAGAGCGGTCCGCTGTAGTCAGGCAGCACGGCATCCCGCCAGCCACGCTGAGAAGCTACGAGCACGCTTCAGTACGGTCAGTGGAGACTTAACCCCAAGGCAAGCCTCGACATTTGCAAAGACAGCTTCTCTGAACGCAGCCTGCTCTGGAACATCTTTTGCTGCCAAGCCTGGCTCACACTCACGCCTGAACCTGACACACACGTCTGTCCAAATGTTGACTGCCTTTAACCAATCCCGCTGGCGCTTCTGTTGCGGGGTGACGCCTTGCCGCGATTTGACTACTTTGGCAAAAACTGGACCTTGTGCAGTTACAAAATTAACGTCCACTGCAGGCTTAATGTTTTCGATCTGAGGCTGCACTGCCGGCACATTTTGCACATTGCCGGGCCAACATGCTGCAAGGCTCGGCTGGAGAGTTGCAGACAGATCGCTGAAGATTGCGCTTACAGAAGGGGACTCCCAAGGCATTTGGATGGAGATAAGCTTGCCCATCCTGCTGAAGGCATCAATTGCTGCATGCTGTACGATGCCTGGCTGAACTCTCGGCGGCGGTGAGCTTTCAGGCTCAAGATCGTCCAAGCGGTCGAACACTCTGATGCCTTTGTCACCTTCTGCACTTTCCGGTTCTGTATCCGCGTCGCTCTCCACTGGAGCGCTCTCCCCTGGACCCCCTTCTTGACCGTCAGAGGCTGCCGAAGAGCCTGCAGTAATGCCGGCCATGGCACCACTTGCGCATGCACTTTGCAAAATTGAACTTGAGATCTCGCCCGACGGGCGGAGCACAGCCATGCGCCAGCTACGGCGAGAGCACACTAAAAGCAAAATGCTAAAAGGGCGCTACCTCCTCTACTTGATTCTACTCGCAAGCTGTGATGTCACAATCTTGCAGAGAACGGCACATCAACACGTGCAACTGCACTACCCCAACACAAGCAGGCGCTCACAGACGCGTGGAACTTGCGAGTTGTTTAGGCTCGTCCAAGTGTGGACTCACTGTTAGCCCAAGCGAAAGAGTTATCATGTCACTGGCTCCATGACGACTCTCAACACTTCACACACGAGCGGTAAACAGCACTAGCATGTATTAGCTGCGCAGCGCACTTCTTCATTTTCTCGGCTATCGCGCGTGTCAGGCTCCTTGGCTATCGGGGCCAAGTGACCGCCCCACACGGGGGCCCTGCAGGAACACACGACGGTGCACTGCAGGCGGCAGAGGCAAAGCTGACAAGACAGAAGCTAAGCACACTCCCCCCCAGTCTCCAAGCGTACACTGCAGCTCAGCTGTTTTTTTCACACCCCGTGGTCTTTGCCAACGGAAATGAGAGAGGGCGGGCGCAAAAAACTTCAACTCTACTCGTTAGCAACAGTAGAGTACATGCCAGAACATCACAGGTGTTCTCATGTTACGCAACACACGGAAGCAACTGCGACGCACGGAAGCAGCACATGACTACACATTCTGGCTTGGACCTGCGAAAGTTTCACAAACGCAGCGGCACACTAGAGGTGTCAATGTAAGACTCCCCAGTCAAGCACTTCCAACACGCGCACGCTGTTTCGCGCATTGCATATGGCCCTTTCTAGCTGAGGGTACACAGTTTGTAGAGGCCTCCCCCCACCCTAAAGATCCAAGTCAAGACGGGCTAGTCATCAGAGATGAAGAGCTCCGTGACAAAGGTGGCACAGCAACATGCACCAACTCACGAACAGGCATATGTGGAGAGAAGACCTGGCTACCCCAAACAACACTCACTACCAAGCTCACAGGCACGCTCATTCACTTTTCGCAGCGGCGCCACCGTACCCTCTACAATCTCGCACTCACACGCTACAGGCTGCCTGTTTTCCAAGGATCGGGACCTCTACACCAACTCTCCAGAACCCCGTACGCACAAGACAAGGCGGGAGGGCGCGCCGACCTTTTGCAGGAAATGCCG